CACCTAGGTCCGACTTTTACATGAGGCGCTCAGCACTAGCGGCTCAAAGCCAGGCTCACCTAGGTCCGACTTTTACATGAGGCGCTCAGCACTAGTGGCTCAAAGCCAGGCTCACCTAGGTCCGACTTAATTCACATGACCAAAGCTGCCTCCCTGGGCTCCTGACTGGTGATGAGAACAGGCTCTCCTCTCTTTCCCACTTCTCACATTTCTTAGGTCTTTCTCAGTTCTCAAATTGATGAGCCCCATTCTGGGAACTCAGTCCAGACCCCATCCCAACTCCAGTTACCCACTTTGTTCCCACAGGGCCTATTAGACAATCACAAAGGTGCTCCTAAAAAACCCTTCTAGTCACCCTTCCTTAGCTGCCAGGAAGGCAGTTACCCCAGAACCTCCATGCTACAGTCCTGGTCCCAGCCACCACAAGCTCCATTCGTCTCCTGGCCTCTGTTCTAGCCCATCTCACTGCGGCAGCCACAGCATACACAAGACCCCAAGTGTGACACATCTCAGCCCTTTGCTAGTGCCGGGCTTCCCCCACCTTAGTACCTGACACTCCAGAGGCCCTCCCAACGTGTTCCAGCACTGGCCCCAGCTGGCACTCCTCCACTCACTACTGAGCTTCCTACAAGAAGGAAGGGCTCCTGGCGCAGGCTTGGCAGGCAGCAGTGCTCTCTGAATGCCTACAAAGGGAGTGCTGGCTCCAATGGGAAGAACCATGCATTTCAAATCCCTAAAGGCCAGTTCCTCTTTGTACAGGCCTCAAGAGAAAGGCCACAAGGAATCCAAAAACCTAACCACAGAACTGGAGGGAACTGTCAGACAAGCTCAAGACACCAAGGCAGCTCTGGCCATGACCACCATGAATGGCACAACAACATGAGGAAACATCTTCAACCTCATGGTAACTACAGTGAGCATCAGTGAGCATCAGCTCCAGCAGCTGACTTAAGATGGTGTAACCCCATCTTTATAAAGAAACAATCAAACCCTGAATGTTAAGAAATGGTAGTCTCTGGGTGGCCAATTTTCTGTACATTTGTGTCTTGTATTTTTTTTTTCTTTTTTGGTGCTGGGGATTGCTAAATATATATCTAATCAGTGAGTTGTCCCCAAGTCCTGGTCTTTTTTTTTTTTTTCCCCCACTCCTGGGGCTTGAACTCAGAGCCTGGGCTCTGTCCCTGAGTTTCTCTCTCAAGGATAGCACTCTACCACTTGAGCCACAGCTCACTTCCAGCTTTTTCTGTGAATGTAGTACTGAGGAATCGAACCCAGGGCTTCATGCATGCTGGGTAAGCACTCTATCACTAAGCCACATTCCCAGCCTTTTCTTTTTTCTTTTGCTGGTCTTCTCTAACATCACCTGATAAGTACTTGTTACTGTTCTCAAGAGAAACGACAATAACAGGAATGAGGAAGAGGGCTCACCTGAGACAGAAGAGTGAGGACTCTCTGGTGCGGCAGGTCAGAAGGCTGTCCAGGAACTCGGGGATGGGGAGGCCACTGCGGGGAGCAGGAGGACCTGGATCTACCTTTGGCAGTGTGAGCTTGGCCTCACCCAGGTGGACAATCAAGGCAGCCAACCCCAGCACGTGTTGGCCACTCAGCATCGGGCACTGAAACAAGGCAGCTCTCTAGCCAAAAGGATCCAGACCCCAAGGACTAGCCAGCCTCTGGCAGGAGCCTGGGTGTGTTCTGAGGGGAAGGAGCTACCTGGTGAGCAAGCAGCTGGACAAGACGAATGAGTACTACAGGCAACAGCCTGGGTCCACACAGGGTCCTCACGAAGAGGGCAGCCCAGGTACCCTGCCTACAGAGACACGGAAACTGAGTCGCTTTTGTTAATGGTCCTGCACATCCCTTCAATGACTGAGCCATGCATGGAGGCCTACAGAGGGCCAGATTCTCCCACAAACAGTGGCCTTTTTATAACAAAGACAGCTAGTTTTCCAAGGTATCCCCATTTGACAAAGCTCAGCCCAGCCATCTGATCCCAGCAACCAAGCTCACACCTGCCTAGCCCATAGTTTTAGCACCCAGTGAAACTCTTGAACCCTCACCTCTCTGGAAGGGCAAAGCTGGAGGCTGCCATTAGGTTCTGACAGAAAGCTGTGAGCAGGAGATCTACAACCTGGCAGAAGACAGCATCACATGAGGCTTGGTGCCTCTTGTATCAGTGACAAAGGAGGCAATTCAAACAGGACTGAGAGATAGGCAATCACAAAACTAGTTGGCCCAGCAAAGCTGGGACTCTAGCAGGATCAGTGTTGTCAGGCAAACTAGGAACAAGAACCCAAGACTAAATCAACAAATCTGGATTGTTAAGGGCAAAGAGGAAATGTTTGAGGTTTGGGGGCTAGAAATGGCCTATACCACACCTACTCTGAAATAGGGCAACAGCACAAACAGGCTAGGGAAGGTTGGACATCCTCAGCACTGGTGCGTGGTTCCTCCATATCTAACCACATTTGTGTGTGTGCGTGCGCGTGTGCGCTTGAAGTAGCCCTTAGCTACTCCTAAGCTATCCTTAGCTTTTGCACACAAGGCTGGCACTCCATCATTTAAGCCACTTCTTTACTTCCAGGATTTTGGTGGTTAATTGGAGATTAAAAAAAAAAAATCTCAAGGACTTTTCCTACCCAAGCTGGCTTTAAACCAAGATCCTCTTATCCAGCTCCTGAGTAGCTACAATTACAGGTGTGAGACACCAGTGCCTACCTTTTTTGCCTTACCAGGTTTGAACGCAGGGCCTAGGGTCTTGCACTTATGAGGCACAAGGAGCTCTACAGCTGAGTCATGTCTCTAGTTGTTTTTTGCAATAACTTTTGTGAGGAAAGTCTTCCAAATTAGATTTCTGATCACAGCTGGGATGACAGGTGCAGGCCACCACAGCAGCTACTAGCTAAGAAAATGTCTTGTAAACTTTCCTGCCCAGGCAAACCTCACACTGCAATCCTTCCATTCTCCAGCTGCTAAGCAGCTAAGGTTGTAAGCCTCTGGTGCCTGGTTCTGCCCTCACTTTGAACATAACCTAAGAAGATTCTGATACTACAGCCAGATCCCGGACAGCCCACACCCACCATCTGATCTTGCTTCTCAAGTTTTGGAGCAGGGATGCTGAGCTGAATCTTCAATATTTCAAGGCTGTTGTCATCTTTACTGTGACCCAAAGTAGCACTCAGTCGTTCAGAAATCACAGCCATCTGAGCAGATATAACTACAAAGAGACCAGCAAGGTTAGACGGGAGATGTGGGAAGGAGGCAGAGTGTAGGGGCCTTCGGAGCCTGGCAGCAGGATCATCAGCACCACCACATGGCAACTTGGCCTCTGTGTGGAGGCTGCTGTGGGGAGTACTGGCGGGCTGGCCGACAACAGCACAGCCTCTCCTTAGGTGTGGCACTTACACAGATCCTTTTTGCTACTGGCACCTTTAGCCAAGAGGGGAAAAACAGGGTTTACTTACATTGCAGTTGGCAAGTGACCAACAACGAAGCAACTTGCTGCCTCACTACACTGATCATATGTCCTGGGCAGTCCTGGCAGAGGATGGATGCATCCTCTCCCTGGATCAGCCAAGGGGCCGACGTGTCCATGTGCTGTCAGAAACCCCATGCCAACTTTCCTATGCTGTGACAGCTGTCTGAGCACACAGCCTCCTAGACACCAGAGTCACGTAGGCCCCACAGCTCCACTCAAGCCTAGAAATCTCTTCATTGCTTTTAGGAATAGAGCTGACTTGATGTTTGTCAATCTTTTGCTTAAGCATTGGAATTCTTCATAAAGTCCTCCCAATACCACATATAGGACCCGGCATGATGACACACACCTGTAATTCTAGCACTGGGGAGATTGAGATGGGAGGACCACTTGAGCCGAGGAGTGCAAGGCCAAGTTGGGCAGCATCGTAGGCGGGAAAAACACCCCAACTCAAATGGACACCCCTGTTCCTCCCACCATTGAGCCTGAAAGCCGAAAGGTTGAGCCTCCAACATCTGTGCATCCAGCTTGAGGAAGAGAGGAGAGGCTGGGTAGCTAACGCCCAGCTGGAGCAGCTGCGCTGCAAGTTTGTGATTGTTTCCTCTCGCTCTGTCTTGGCTTAACTAAAATCTATCATCCCTAGTTGCTGGGTATGGAGTGCCCCAGGGTTTGGGTATTGGGAGCTCCATCTCCACCCAGGGTGGCAGTGGAAGGTGATGCTTCACAGTAAGAGGTTACTGCCCTCAGAAAGAACTAATAAGAGTTTCTCATGAGGTTCTCTATAGAGGGCTGTCATTACAGAGCAGGCAGGGCCCTCCCTGGTGGCTCTGGCTCCTTGTCTAACATGAGAACCCTATTTCCCGTCAGTCCCTCCCTCATACTGTGGTACAGCCTCTAAAACTGTAAGCTAGGGGCTGGGAAGGTGGCTCAGTGGTAGAGCGCATGCCTTGCATGCATGAGGCCCTGGGTTCGATTCCTCAGCACCACATAAGCAAAAAAGAAAAAAAAAAAAACAGAAGTGGCGCTGTGGCTCAAATAGTAGAGTGCTAGCCTTGAGCTGAAGAGCT